CCGTCTGGTTCACGAATACCATCGAGCGCAGGGCCACAGACAGGTCCAGGTCGCGACGCCGCCATGAGATCGCCAGCGAACGTACCACTTTCCACCCGCTGCGCCGCATTTCCGCTTCTCCCGGAACACCAGCACCAAAGAACCACGGAATACACCCGAGAATGACGCCACCGGGAACACCTGCAGCAAGCCTGCTGCCGACCCGTCCGATCCGTTTGACGCCAGCGTTGACAAGTCCACATTCGACACATTGGACACGCTACCGCCAGCGCGCGTCCGAACGTCGGCTTGCACGCCGTCGAAGACCAACGCGCTCAGTGACGTGTCCATGTCGCGCCCGCGAACTTCCAATCTACCGACCAGTACTCCCGAGCACACCGCAGAGCTGTCCAGCGACGTGCCCAACGCGCCCAAGTCCGACATCGAAGGCAACGCAGCCTCGTCCTCCCGGCTCTCCACCACGATCGGCTGTAGCAGTGCAGTCGACACCAGAGACCGAGGGTCCGGCATGCTCCGGACCAAGTGAGAGACCCTCACCACCACGGATCGCAACGACACCGCGTCCACCAGTGTCACGGTCGTCCTCACCGTCACGGTCTGAGACTTGGCCGTGCGCGGCGCCAGAACCACCTCCGCAGTCTTCAGCCACCTCGCATCGCTCGACTGCAACTCGCCCGACACTTGCCATCCACCATCGCTCTTCACGCGGTGCAGCAGCACGAAGTCGCTCCAACGAGGAACTGCCATGCTCACGCTCTGCACGTCCAGCCGAGCGTCGACCGGCAACGCAGACGCGCGATCCAAAGCCACAGACACTAACTGCCTCGGCGGCAACGATACCGTCTCGTTCACGAATACCATCGAGCGCAGCGCCACAGACAGGTCCAGGTCGCGACGCCGCCATGAGATCGCCAGCGGACGCACCACTTCCACCCGCTGCGCCGCATTCCGCTTCTCCCGGAACACCAGCACCAAAGAACCACGGAATACACCCGAGAATGACGCCACCGGGTACACCTGCAGCAAGCCTGCTGCCGACCCGTCCGATCCGTTTGACGCCAGCGTTGACAAAGCCACATTCGACACATTCGACACGCTACCGCCAGCGCGCGTCCGTACGTCGGCCTGCACACCGTCGAAGACCAACGCGCTCAGTGCCGTGTCCATGCCGCGCCCGCGAACTTCCACGTCTGCCGACCAGTACTCCGACCACACCGCAGAGCTGTCCAGCGACGTGCCCAACGCGCCCAAGTCCGCCATCGAAACCAACGCAGCCTCGTCCTCCCGGCTCTCCACCACGATCGGCTGTAGCAGTGCAGTCGACACCAGAGACCGAGGGTCCGGCATGCTCCGCACCAAGTGAGAGACCCTCACCACCACAGATTGCGACGACACCGCGTCCACCAGTGTCACGTTCGTCCTACACCGTCACGGTCTGAGACTTGGCCGTGCGCGGCGCCAGAACCACCTCCGCAGTCTTCAGCCACCTCGCATCGCTCGACTGCAACTCGCCCGACACTTGCCATCCACCATCGCTCTTCACGCGGTGCAGCAGCACGAAAGTCGCTCCAACGAGGAAGTGCCATGCTCACGCTCTGCACGTCCAGCCGAGCGTCGACCAGCAACGCAGACGCGCGATCCAAAAACACAAACACTAACTGCCTCGGCGGCAACGATACCGTCTCGTTCACGAATACCATCGAGCGCAGCGCCACAGACAGGTCCAGGTCGCGACGCCGCCATGAGATCGCCAGCGGACGCACCACTTCCACCCACTGTGCCGCATTCCGCTTGTCCCGGAACACCAGCACCAAAGAACCACGAAATACACCCGAGAATGACGCCACCGGGTACACCTGCAGCAAGCCTGTTGTCGACCCGTCCGATCCGTTTGACGCCAGCGTTGACAAAGCCACATTTCGACACGCTACCGCCAGCGCGCGTCCGTACGTCGGCCTGCATGCCGTCGAAGACCAACGCGCTCAGTGACGTGTCCATGTCGCGCCCGCGAACTTTCACGTCTACCGACCAGTACTCCGACCACACCCGCAGAGCTGTCCCAGCGACGTGCCCAACGCGCCCCAAGTCCGCCATCGAAAACCAACGCAGCCTCGTCCTCCCGGCTCTCCACCACGATCGGCTGTAGCAGTGCAGTCGACACCAGAGACCGAGGGTCCGGCATGCTCCGGACCAAGTGAGAGACCCTCACCACCACGGATCGCAACGACACCGCGTCCACCAGTGTCACGTTCGTCCACACCGTCACGGTCTGAGACTTGGCCGTGCGCGGCGCCAGAGCCACCTCCGCAGTCTTCAGCCACCTCGCATCGCTCGACTGCAACTCGCCCGACACTTGCCATCCACCATCGCTCTTCACGCGGTGCAGCAGCACGAAGTCGCTCCAACGAGGAACCGCCATGCTCACGCTCTGCACGTCCAGCCGAGCGTCGACCAGCAACGCAGACGCGCGATCCAAAAACACAAACACTAACTGCCTCGGCGGCAACAATACCGTCTCGTTCACGAATACCATCGAGCGCAGCGCCACAGACAGGTCCAGGTCGCGACGCCGCCATGAGATCGCCAGCGGACGCACCACTTCCACCCGCTGCGCCGCATTCCGCTTCTCCCGGAACACCAGCACCAAAGAACCACGGAATACACCCGAGAATGACGCCACCGGGTACACCTGCAGCAAGCCTGCTGCCGACCCGTCCGATCCGTTTGACGCCAGCGTTGACAAAGCCACATTCGACACATTCGACACCCTACCGCCAGCGCG